ATAACTTTTTGTAGTCCTAACGTTTTGTAGTCCTAACTTTTTGTAGTTGTAACTTTTGTAGAATTTTTGAGTTCTGAATTTCTAGACTTCTAAATTTTTGTCTTTCCAAATTTTTGGAGTTCAAAATTTTTGAAGTTTCAAATTTTTGGAGTTCAAAATTTTTGAAGTTCCAAGTTTTTGGTGTTCAAAATTTTTGGAGTTTCAAATTTCTGGAGTTCCAAATTTCTGGAGTCCTAAATTTCTGGAATTCTAATTTTCTAAAGTTCTAAATTTCTGCAATTCTAAATTTTTGGTTCAAGCTCCCTCTGGCAACCTGACAATGCGTAGCATCGATGTCTATTTTCACTTTAAAATTTAGATAAAAAAAATGTTTCTAATTGGAAATAGCTTATCTCGCGCACTGCGGTGTGAAATGGCAATGAGAAATCTCTTACACTTTTCTTCCCATGAACCTGCACTAGTTTAGTATTACTCATTATTTTATATATATATGTATATATATATATATATATATATATATATATATAACATTTCTTATTGTACTAACAAAACAAATTCGGTTCCTCGAGCAAATGCATCAATAAAATGAATAACCGATTTGTACAAAAATAGATTCCCATTGAGTTGAAAAGCTGTTATAAATAGATTATACGAATCTCTTGAAAGTTATAAATCATGATCGGAATGAGAAATAAAATATATATTATTAATATTTGTATTCTAAATCAAACAAATGACGTATGTTTTGCAGATTAATATTTGAACAGTGCTTGGGCCATTAGTATAATATAACGATTTAATTTGAATGCTAAATGCGTTGATGCCAGCGTGGAAATTAACTGGGTACTGAGGGAGAATCTAATCTTTGGGTAAAGTGATATATATATATATACATATATAAACAGGGTCCCCCCCATACATATATATACATATATATACAGGTAGTTGTAAGTTTTTTTGGTTACTACAACTTTGGTTACTATAACATTACTTAGACCAAAATAGTCAAAAATGATAACACAATTTCTCCATTTTTTCAAGAATTAGGACTTTTTAAACTATGAAACTATGGTTTTAATCTTAAAAAAATTGGTAGACCTTGACCTCCTTTTCGAGTAAAACAATAAAAACCTAAACATGACTGCAGGATATAAACTACATTCTCTCTGGAAATTTCTTATGAAATTATATTATAATTAAATAAGTCATATTTACCATTAAAAATACAGTGTATATTTTAATTAATCCGAGTAATAAAGTTAGCAACAACGAGTCGTTTCGCATTTGCAAGATTAATGGCAAAATTTAATGAAACTGTAATAGAATTATAGTGGCAGTAAATTCTCTAAATGCAATATGTTACCGCAAACACGAAGCTTTCACTATAGACTAATGCAATCTAGTTAAAAGTACACATTTACAGATTATAATAAATAAAAAGTAAAACTTTTTAATACTCATAAAGTAATTTCACAAAATGTTGTGTCGAAGTGTGATCAATTGCACATTTTCACAAACTACTGAAAAATTGAATGAATCGAGTAAATTCCAGTAAATCAGCTTTTGAAATCAAAACTGATTATCTACATCGATTTTAGGGTATACCTACTTATTAATGTCTGCCCAAAAAAAATTGTTCACAATTAACTCATTTCAATAATATAAAAGTGACAAAATAAATATACATTAGTTTATGAATATTTAAAACAATGGTAATATAAGGCTAAGGAAAAAATATCTCAGAAAAATACTATTGAAATCTTAGTGGAATTAAAGTGTAATAATAACTATTTCAATAGCAGTTACGTTTTTATACGAAGTTATATAAACGTTGCAAAAAATATTTTTAAATTAAAATTAACAATATATTTTCAGAAATTTAATTAGTTGCATACAATTTTCTAACACGAAACCAACTCCTTCCCCGAATTTCCAGTTTGTGATAATTCATAGTACAAGAGCCATTAATTTCCGAGATACAGTGCATATATTATATTATATTATATATATACATATATATGTATATATATATATATATATATATATATATAAACTTATTCACATATTCAGTAATGCTTTATGAATTTCAATTCATGATGATCAAAGCTCTGTCATGTCGAATAAAAGCCGATCACACATGTGCACTAAATATATTATAGAAACAGAGGTGGCAAACAATTTAGGGCATATTTGATGAAAATTAATAGAAATCAGTGTCAATGAAAATTCTGCACAAAAGCAATTTTATATATGCATAAACCTGGTTCAAGAAATAGGATAAAGTTCAAAACCTGGTTAAATTGGATGCAAACGTCTTTGATACAAATTTCCAAAAACATTGTTAAAAAAATTCGTCAAGTATAATTTAGGGTAACACAAAGAATCACTTCTGACTATATTGAGATGAAATCTATGAATTCCCAAACTTACTTCAATTTTTTTGTCATGCACTCATAAATATTTTTGCTCATTTGTTTATTAGAGCAAGTACTCATATATCCATTCATGTATCTTTCACTCACTACTCATAAATTTAAAAAGTATGATTAACAAACTATGTCTTCTGTCCACAGACCCTCAGATTGAGAAACTCTGCTTTACAGAAGTAACAGAATTCTATTCAAGCAAATATACACCAGTCACTAAATTCCTATGTGAGTTACAGTTTCCTCTATTAAACGAGTAGACCAATTTACTCAAAATGGGTCAAAAGTACTGACGGTGGTCATTCAGTAAATTTGGACAACGTTATACAGGCACCTGCATTGGGATTTACTATGATAAATACATTAGATTAGTCGGAGAGCCAATGACAAATTTATAAAGAACAGTTTTATAATTTGGACAACGATATACAGACACCCGCATTGGTATTTACTACGATAAATACATTAGATTAGTCTAAGCGCCAATGACAAACTTATAAGTAACAGTTTTATAAAAGGTTCTCTTCTACTGCATTGTGTAATTTTATTAGTTGTTTAATGTAGACATCAGAATTGATCGTTAGGTAAGACTAAAAGTAGATTTTTTCTCAGTAATTAACTAAAACTGAACGTCCAGATCGTTTCTCAACATTGAGTGAAAACCAGAACGAAATTTTGCAAACCAATTTTGACACTGCCATTTTTTCAAGGCAAAGTGTCACCATAAACTGTTCGTAACTTTTTGTAAGCTTGAGATGGCTCTTTACCTTTGCAAAAATAAGAAAAACAAAATATGACAAAAAAATTCGTTTTGATTCTCCATCTTTCAACGAACGCCAAACAAAAACTAAGCATTGATTAAAAAAACCTGTTTTTTAATGATCGACATCTAAATTCCTTACCATTCATTAACAAAAGGTATTATTTTACATTTGGACAACATCAGCAAACCCAAAAATCAAATTAAAACCACCTAAACTGAAAACCAGAGTTACTTAGTTGCCAACCCAATCATTTTATATTTACCATTTTTAATTAGAGAACTCTTACTCTCCTAAAACATTGTATCTCGAAAAATGCTCGTATATTGAGGAAACAAATAGTTGTTTTGGCGGCTCGTATATCAAAACGCTCGTAAGTCAAGGTACGACTGTAATTTATTACTATTTCTTGCACGACTTCACCCATATTTTGGTGAATCCCACGTCTCTTCATGAATTTAATCCATTTAGTACTGGTTATCATTCAAATATCATCAAATATTTAAATTCAATAAAAACAGTAAAGCAAGAGACATTATTTTCTAATTGAAAAAAAACTGCCAAAATCCACCTTAATCTTTTACGATCATCTTCAAACCCAATCTTTCTGATTGCAAAGTAATTACTTCCAGTACAATTCCATACCAGAATTCTTCCCGAGTTTTGCTCATTTCTTTAATTGACTCTGGATTAATACCACTTCGACTTTATACATAATTACTTAGAGAAGTTTTCGATTGAGTAAAGTTGAAATTTCCAGTTTTCTGTAATTAATGGTCTTTCTACAGCCGGATAGTTTCAGGAAGTTAATTTTGTAGCGATAATTTTTCGCACTTGGTTAAATATTTAAAAAGTTTTATAAGTTTCTCATTAATAGACAGAAAAACTAAGGAAGGTTGAACTTTGAAGTTTATCGTTGGCGTTTAGCATAATAAGGTGTTAGATTTTATTTTATATTTGGTGTTCTCATAAAAAGTTTAGTAGATTGGAAAGTTCTATATTTTGCAATTTGTGTGCTTTTTCAAAAAAGAGAAATATTCAATTTCATTTATTCTTGTAATTAATTTAACATTGGAATTTAATCAGGATTTATTAGTGCCATCAAACGACTTCTGATGACAATTTATTTGAACAAAACTTAAAACGATGTATGAGATTTATTTTTGAAGTAAAACTTTTTTAGGCGCGACTAGGGTGTAAATCCGTACAAATGCAACGGAAGTGCGTCACGGCAGATAAGATAAGATAAGATTCGAGTGCCAATGATCCGTCATTCGCTCTCGATGATATCATTTCTATATGGGTCGATTGTGATTAGTCGTCGTGTGTGTGAATAGAGAAATGTTGTTGTATGCGTACCGATATCAACAAATTATTACATGATGAGTAAAGTTGAGTTGGGTTGATTTGTAATTAATCATTTCCAACTTTATAAAAATGTATTACAAAATATTTGTTTACATAAATACTTATATATTATGACATGACATTCTCATTTTTTCGAATCCTATATTCAATCTACTTTGATCCCACATATTTATTATTCAAATAAACATAAAGATCAACTAAAAATAATTATTCAAATATTTATTTTAATGATAGAACACAATAAATATTATATTAGCAGAATTAATTAAATTATGACCCGTGAACAAAATAATTGAATTTATATGGCTTATTTAATAACCGTTTGATCATCAATGTGTAATTATAATAAATAATGAAACTATTTAATATTATGACTCGTATAGATTAATTTAGAATATTTCAAATGACATATTTACAAACAAATAAATTTAAATTTAATTAATACCTGTAATGTTAATGTTAAAATCCACATCAAGGCTGCCATCATGTATGTGCACATCAAATTTATATGAATTGTATTTCTCAAACATCGAAGGTCCCTGAAAAAAGGAAAATTGTTAGTTTTTCTTTTATTTGATTATTGTGAAAATAAAAATTAATAACCATTAATATCAAAACATAATCGGTACTGATAACTATTATATTTATAATAGAATTAAACTGATTAAAAGTCTTATTCAAACCGTAAGAGTTTTTTAAGTTCAACTCATAAATAATATAAAAAAATCGAATGTTGAAATATTTTTTTAGTCTGATATTTATAAATAGAGCCTATAAATACAGGTTATCTTAATGTCTAATATTATATTTTTTAATTATATTTTTTTAAAATAACGCTACATTAGGAAATATTGTTAAGTCAGTAAGGTAATTTATAAACTTTTTTCTATAATAAATTTCTCAAATATTTCGTATAAAAATATTAATATGTCTTTGAGAATTTTTTTTAATTAGTAAACTTGCAATAAATATAAAATGAAACAAATTCCAATTAATTTCATAAAATATTGAATAAAATAATAATTTTAAATATAACATAAGAAAATTTAAATGGCAACGTTATAGCATTTCGATTAAGAAAAGATATTTTTAGTAAAAAATACACTACATACGTTTTTAATCCGATTCATTCGAAAACAAATTTCCATGTACCTTTATGGAATATTTAATAAAATCTAAAGCCGACCTGCATATTTTAAAAATAACTATTTTTTTCTAGCAAAAGGTGAGTACTTTGCATCGTAATGTGTTTTTGAAATATACTTTCTTAATATTGCGTCTAGACTTTGTAATCTATTCGAGACGTATTGGAAAACCATACAGTCATGTTAATAATACTATATGGTGGATTATATATATATATATATATATATATATATATATATGTATATGTATATACACTAGATGACCCGATGGACGTTGACCTGTACCCACGTCTACAATTCAAAAACTTCAAAAAAATTTAATATCCACTCTATACTTTGCATTTGCATTTGTGATTATTTAATCTAAATCTAAATTTCAAGTAAAATAACATTTCTGGCAGGTGACATTTCTGGCAAAATTATTTTCATTTATTATTACAATATTACCATATTTTCATAATAATTTAAATCCTGAAAACTTTCCTTGACAAACTGCAAAAGATTTATCAAAATTTGAATAACCGTGTAGGAGGAGTTTCTATTCATACATATATATATATATATATATATATATATATATATATATATATAACAAGTTAAAAAATAAATATAGATAATTATTTATATATATGTTTCGACACATACATTGTGATCAATATGCTGCAAATTATTGATCAAAAGTAGGTACCCTCAAATTGTGACATTGATTTATTTGAAGTAAACCATTAAAAATCACCAATAACACTATAAAAATATTAATGAATCTGCCCTTACTATCATTTATCACCAAACCTTTACAATCACCAATTTTAATAACCCAAAGTGCTTCCATATCACTCTATCCTGGTCTCTTTTTCTTGTGCTCTGATTCATTTACTAAAGTGCACACATATGTGTTAAAACAACTTATGAATTTCGTTGATACATTATAAAAAAAACGTCGTAAATTTTGTAATATCTCTAAGTGAAATATTGCAAATTGGCAAAATGCCAATAGAACTTCCTGCTAAAGTTTGATCATAAAATAATATCAGGCCAAGATGTAAGTGAACCCATACTAGATTTACGAGCGATGAGGTTCAAGGATTCAGCGTTTTGGATAATTTATAAATGGATTTTATGGATATTTTTGGGTTGTGGTGTTTTGTAGAGAAAAGGGTTTTGAAAGAGGTGAAAATCTTGTTGACACAGCTAAAACCAACGCGAAAACCTTTTACTAATCCAAATAACTATGATTCTAATTGTGCATCTATGTTTGTAATTGTGACAATGATTTTGTGATTTAATTTTGTTTTTTTTTTAAAAAATCTTAGTTTGAGAATGATGATATTGTTTGAAAAAAACATGTCGCTTTTGATAAACCTGAAATTTTTTGAAAATTTTGAACTTTTTTCGCAGAAATCGCTCTGCGTTTTTTGAGAATGATTTTGATTCATTTTTGTTTTTTTTTAAAAAAAAATCTTGTTTTTAAAAATGTTGATATTATTGAATAAAACATGTCTTTTTTGATAATTTTTAAAAATTTCGAACTTTTTTCACAAAAATCGCGCTGCTTTTTGTGACAATGATTTTGTGATTCATTTTTTTTTTTTGAAAATGTTGACATTGTTTGAAGAAGACATGTCCTTTTTCATAAATCTGAAATTTTTAGAAAATTTTGAACATTTTTTCATAGAAATCGCGCTGCGTATCCTTTTTTAGTTTTTAGACAAAATATCGAAGTTGTAGTCTAACGGATAAACATTCAAATCTGTTGATCCATGTTCCTGAAATCGTCGATAAAAAATTGTATCCGCACACACTCACACACATACATCATTTTTTCTTATGTATGACAAAATGTTCAGAGTCCTTTGAAACAAAGTTTTCATTAACTTTCATTAACTAAGTAATAGTAATCGCAAAAAAATCGAAAATGAAATTTTTTATATATTTTTACGTTTCAAAGGTTTCTGAACATTTTGGCATACCTTAGAAAAAATAGATGCGTAAGTGTGTGTGTGTTCGAATACAAATTTTTCTCAACGATTTTGGAAACACGGTTCAACCGATTTGAATGATTTATTCATTAGATTCCTATTAAAAAGAAAACTCTGCTGATTAGTTTTTGGACAAGGCAGATCCAGTGGTTTCGAAGATACGGGACAAAAAATGCAAAAAAAAGTAATACAGTTTTTTGAGAGAACTGACCATCCGTCCTTCCAAAATTGTTGGGAAGGCAGGTGTAGCGGTTTTGGAGATCGAGTTGAAAAAGTGAAAAAAGCCACTTGGCGGTTAAAAATGATCAAGTATAAATTTGTTCACATTTCTATTGAGTCTATATCATTGTTTATCCGTTAGACTGCGACGCGGCGCTTACGCGCTTCGATATTGCGTCTATATGCAGCTAAAGCAGTGCTATTGCTTTGAAAAATAAGTCGAAATTTTCCAAAACATTTCAAAATAAAACAAAAAAACTTTTTTTCAAGAAAGTCATTATTTTTCAAAAATTTCAAGATTCTTAAAAACCTATTTTTTGCAGTTTAAAAAAAGTTTTAATTTTTTTTTTACAAATATTAATTTCTGTTACGGGAAGTTCCAGCAATTTGCCTTGAGACACGATGGCATACACTGCTAATTTTCGTTTTTTTTACGATTACTGTAACTTATCCTAGGGGACTTTAAATATTACAATTTTTCATTCAGTTTGATTATGTTATATTCTACATTTTCTACTTATTGTATCCAGGATTAACCATAAGCCAATTCCTTCTACAACCGCAGTATGCAATTTATTTATTTTAGCAAAACACCATATTTCATTTCGATTTTCTGGAACACAAATAATACAACAGAATTCTCCTTTCCATCTACTATGGTCAACTTAATATAAAATGGAACTCTCTGGATTACTTTTAAGTATATTTACTTTTCACCTTTAACGAGTCTTGGAGAAAATCAAGGGGAAAGTCGAGGAGAAAAGTCTCTGCCGGATTAATTCTGCGATCAAAAGAAAATCGGAGTCGGAAAATGGAGAGGGCGAAAAAATATGTAATAAACACTTGGGATAGAAGAAAATGTGGAAAAAATAAAGTGAAATGCATGTTGACTTTATACTCTGAGGACTGACAGATTCTAAATACAAGACTTAGCGACTTATGTAGGTGGTGCAATGCCACTTACACCAAGTTTCAATGGTTCTCTAGGTTTCTAATAAATTACTCAACTCACTTGAAGTAGAGGAACACCCAAACTGCCAGCCCCAAAGCCACCAGGCTTATTGTGTATCCTATGTAATATATTATGCTGGGTATTTCTGTTCCTTCCAGAAAATCGTGAACAGGTAAATGTGTTATTCGTTTGCATTCTGAATAATTTGTGTAATTGTTCCAGGTTCCGTCCAAGTTGCAGAATTTCGTAGCATTTTCTGAAAAAAAAACAGAAATACGTTAGTAATAAATCATTATTTAATACCAAATAATAATTATAAATAGAATACTAGTTTTCAGTATTTATACTAATTATTTAAATCAGAGAAAAAATAACAGAACTAGTGGTGCAAATTGATGTAACTTGACGTACCGTAATTTAGATTTTTTTAAAGTTTTAAAATTTGGAAAAAGCGACTGTTTTAAATTTTGATTTTTTGAAAATTTTGCTATAATTAGATTTATTTTTGAAAGAAATCGACATTTTTGAAAATTTAGAATTTTTTTCAAAAATCGACTTTTGAAAATATTGAAATATTTTGGAAAATTTAAAACTCATTTGAATCAGTTGATGAAATGTGTCGAAAATGTCGAGAAAATTTGCTTGAACTACAAGTGAACTTATACATTATAAATTTTGGAACAAAACCTAAAGAATTTGAAATAAAACTTGTACTTATTATTCAAATGTCTTTCAAATATCTGATAAATTGATATGCATATATGTCTAATAATCATTTTCATCTAGAATTAACTTGGTTCAAGAAATTCCAAAATATCATGCAAATTGGAGCACAGTAAAAAAGCACTAATTTAGTTAATCGTAGATTGAATAGTGCACATATGAACAGTATTTGATAAATTAATTCACTTAAAATATGAATTCAAGTTATAATGTATATCAAATTATCATTAAAAAGTAAAATTTAGAAATTATTACTAGTAGTGAAAACAATTAATATATAGTACAAGATTATAAAATTTATACGCAACATAATTGTAGCAATAATTTTGGGTGGAAAAATTAACAGTAATATTATTTTTTTTACCGCGGATACTATATATTAATTCTCTATGAATTTGTTAATTTGTTCATGTCATTTATGTAACTTTTTTTTTGAATCTACCTAAATAAAAATTTCATCATATAAAAACAAAGTTTGTTCAGCAGGGTGAAAATATGTAATTTTTAATAAAATATTTATA